GCCAAATATATGATAATATTTAAAAGACGATAAATATGTGAACCTAATAATACATTTAATTTAATCTTTTATTACGGACAAACGTCTACAGCAGCAAATAGAGTAAATAGGCAAAAATATTGGCATTACCAAACAAAACAAAGCGTCATTCCTTAAATAAAATTATGGCAAGAGTAGTTCTCTCCATCTACATCCAAACTTGGAGTATGTCAGGGTGTGCATCTGTTGTCTTCGTGGTTTAAGAAAAGAAATATAATAAAAAAAGGAGAGAATGAGAGAGAAGAGAGATAGAGAGAGAGAAAACATTAAACATAATCATTAACCATTGGTGTTTTTTCTAGGACCACAATTATTAACGTTTACATTAAGGGATTGTACATGTTTTTTTATTGTCATATGAAAAAAATAAGTAATAATTAATAACAAGAAAATAATAATTAATGTTTTCTTTAATCATGATTTTTATCGAGCAATCATTATTTTAGGCATACTTATTAAACAATATTCTTCAAACGTTTCCTACATTAAATAATTCTGGTTTGAGGAGAAAGTTCGGTATACAGATATTGTACCATCAATTTGAATTGGATATTGCACCATCAAATGCTGCAGAAAGCAAAATTTTAGGAAAATTGGATACCTCAGCAAACTTTTAATGTGCACTCGAGTCTCATTTCTTTTCCTAAGCCTTGTCTTAAAAGCCAATATGCTCTGGTCATTGCATGAATTTGATTGAGCATCCTGGTGATAGGAGATACGATAAAAGTTTGTTCTTTTTTATATTAAAAGCTACATTAAATTAAAGAAAGAAAGATATGACGCCTGTTACTATGGTACATAGGCTACACCGTCGGTTAACTCAAATACAAAGTTTCATATATAAGTAGGTATACATTTATATAATTAATTGCTTATTTGATTGCAAAATCATTTGATGTCAGACATTTAATGATTTAAGAGCATGGTGTTGCCTCTGTGTCTGAGACAGTGAAGAAAAATATCTGCTTATCTGCTTATTTAGGGTAGGTCGGAATACGTTCTAAATGCATTCTAAATGTATATGTGGCCGATTCTGGAATTTATATTGAGGGAGCTCATGGAGGTCCCCCATACTTTTTCTATAATTTTCTTTTCATCTCTATTTAAAATAAAATTTGGACAAATTTAGGAGAGCCCAAACCATAGAGGTATAAAATAGCCTTTCAATTTTAATACGTCACTGAATATAATATGATATTATGTTCTACATTTGTCTGCGACACATTATGTCACTATTATGTATGGGCCCCGAGGGCCCCTAGGGGTCGGGGACTCTGCGGACCGCCATACGAGAGCGCATAGGCGTCACGCCACTGTGGATGTAAAAGGTTCTCGTTACAAGAACTGACAGTTGTATTGCGAATATGTTGTGAGAAACAGATCGCTAAATTAAATAGCCAGAATAAATATATATAGTTTTGTAAACAGGCCCATACGCTTGGTTGTGAATGGGGGAGGGGGGTCTTTTTGTATAGAAAATGAACCAACTTATTGGGAGCGGAGGAGGTGACGCTTCTGGCCTGCGCAACTGTGAGACAGTGTTTATATGGAAATGTTTCAGTATTTTTACCTGTAATATGAATTTGAATTTTCAAAGCTATAAATTCGCATGAATTCCCAATCTAAGTGAACCCCTAAACCCCCACCCACCAAAGTATATTTATTGTATTTGAGATTCAATAATACAAGTTAATAAGAATTAAGAAAAAAAAATGAAGAGAATATAATGACGAGTCTGTAATAGTGTACATAAGATAAGTCCAAAATGTTTTGGACGTGTAGAAAGTGGTTTCGATTTAAGTCCTTCTACCCTAAAAGGTTACGTTGCTCCTTGTTTGTAGTCTCTTGTGAGAAACTGGGCAACTTGTACAATATCAATTTGGATGATGTCCTGTTGGAGATGTGGATTTCAAGCTGTATCACAATATTAGAGTTTTTACCTTACTTAGGGAAGTGTATGCCGTTTTACTGGATTTTTACGGGCCTGGTAAACTATTATTATTGGTATTATCATCGTCGTTTTTATATTTTTTTTAATTATTATTATAAAATGTTATTATTATCATTATCATTATTTTACTGTTGTTATAACGTAAATTTATTTTATTTCATTGGAGATTCAATAATACAAGCTAATACAAATTAATAAAAAAAATAAAGAGAATAACGAGAAATTGGGTCAATTTTAGATATGATGATGCTTAATGTAAATGCATATTTATTTAACGTTTACCCATTTGACAGGACAGCATTGGACTACTAGTTTACCAATGGCCAAAAAACATGATTTTGACCTGACAGGTATGCATTTTTAATTAATAAATTATTTTTTCCAGTAATGTATTGTTTGTGGGGAAAATGAATTTGCTTATATGCATGTCTTGGCACGTTTCCATTTAAGAAGTTCTATCCTTCATGTTACACTGCTCCTGTTTTGTAGTCGCTGGTGACAAACGCGGCCACACGTCGTACACTATTGGGAGATGTGGATCTCAGCTGTAGCACAGTGCCTGAGTTTGGACCTTATTTAGGGCAGCGTAGGCCATTTCATTGGATTTTCCTGGTAAATAATTAAGGTTTAGCCTAAGGAAACCCAAAGGGGTGTTCGCCTGTTTGATTATGTTCAAGATGTTAATAGACCATTTCAGAATAATGTGATTGTTTTTCTTTGTAAATAAGCCAGTATTATTACCTTTGACGGGACGTTTCTTCTGGCTGTCAGCCAGATATCATCTGCTGTGATGTTAAGGCTAGTTGTTATTACTGCCGCTGTATGGGTGGAGTGATACAGCTTGCCGAGCCTGACGTCAACCTAGCAGGAATCTTACGAGTGGTGGTGGTGCCTGCCCTACCATAATTGAGGAGATCATCATAAATGTGGGACAGTTGGTGAGCCCCTTTTTCTCTGTTCATGTTTTGATTTTGAGATGTTCTTATCAAGTGCTTCTTTGATTTCATGTGTTTCTTTTTCAAGGATCTTTAAGTTTTTACAGTTAGGGATGTGGGTGTTTTTTATCATATGACCAGTGATTGCAGATTTGTTGATTTCTGTTGCTGATGGTTAATTGCTGGATGATTTTGTTTGGATTCTACCTGTATTGTCAGTTACATCTTTTATATGCTCTTTTATTCTAGAAGGCATCTTCCTGTTCCCCCAATGTATATTGTTTTACTGCTTTTGCAGTCTACTTGGTAAATGACACGACAGTACCCCTAATCTTATTTACTGATTTGAAATATGTTCCAACTTCTTGTGTTTTGAATGTCCTTCTGCTTGCTTTTTTTCGACAATTCTTTGACATAATGGTATCGCCACATTTCCTCTTGCTTTTTTGAGTCTTTGGGGTTTTTCATTTTGTTGGTTATTTTTGATGTTGTGTTTTTGTATGTTTTTGATGGTCCAGCTAAAGTATTCACATAATTTTAATACCTATTCTATATATTTTTTTTAATTTCTTCTCCATTTTGAAAGATACGAGGCTTTCGAATTTATGAACTAGTGTCAGAACAACACTTGGACTGGAAATGTAAATATTGGTTTGTATGTGTGCTGTTTGATAAGGACATCTAAGAATCGTATTGAGTTGTTATTCACCTCTTTGAATGTGAATACTGTATACTATTCTCTGTTGCAACAAAGCTGTATATGAACCGTCCTGTCAAAGGTAAAAATACTGGTTTATTTTATATTTTTAATTTTTTTGTTTCTTTCGATTTTGTATTTCTATTGGTTAATGTATTTAAAGTGTTTTTTTTTATCGACGAAATAAATGATAATGATATTAATAAACAATCACGTTTATACTATTTGTTATCAGATCTCTGTGTGAAGGCACTTGTACTTTCATTTTAAACAATTGACTTTGTAGTCTTCATTATACACACAATATTTGAAAGACAAAGTGAAAACAGACTCGGAAATTCAACGATCAACCATGTTTAATTTCAGTTTAAACATTTCTAACCAACAGATTGACGTTCATGTTTTTTTTTAACTACAAATGCAAAGATGCCATCGCATTTGGATATCTCAACGTCATTATTGTAATTCAATTACGTTTTAGTAAGCAGTGGTCTTGAAGTTGCGTTGATATTTTTTAAGTGCTGAAAGATTTTATCTGTGTGTTACCATTAATATTAAAACAAGTTACACAATACAACATTTGATGTATTTAAAACTCTGTACAAAGGTAACAAAATATGTTGTGTTGCCTTCTGCGACGCCCGAAATTTCCCAAAATTGGACTACAGATGCAAAAAACAGGAGGCATAGTTTTGGAAACTGAGCGCTCGACTGAGCAAATCAGATCGCTCTAGGAGTGAACTACCTTAATATACTAAGTAAACCATTTTTACTATACACTACTACTAGTACTACGCGTGGTTGAATTGTCGGAATCAAAGATCATAATATTTACTGCATATTGGAAATATAATTAAAAATATTTAAGGTGTATTGGAAATATAATTTTTAAAAAAAGGACGTAGACATAGCCATCCCTTTAGGAAAGGCTGAAATGTACATGTGTTTTCAAGGTAATAAGAGAAATTGTATTCACAGAAAGTCGAGCCCAACCATTAATTGCCTGTGGTGATCATCTAGCCAGGCTAGGCCCGGCTCTATGCAACAACAGGAATATTTTATGACTAAAATCGACCTCTTAAGCGTACTATTTTCCCGCTCAGAAATGCCTAGATATATCAAATTTTAAGTTCGTATATGATTCATTAAAATTCAGACTTTGAAGCCGGTACGTACCTAAAAATGCATGAAATTAAATTAATTCAATATATATTTGGTTAGTATATATTTTTGGTTAGGCTTGCCACCGTTTTATTAGCGTGTCTATGAGCTACTATATAGGCCCAAATA